TCAGTCCATTAATATTTAAAGTTATTAATGAGAGCTGGATAGTGAATCCTGTCATTTTTATTTCTGTTTACATTCTTTACATAGCTGTACTTTTCCACAGTTATACCTTAATTGGATTTCTTTCCGCAATCTCTTGGGTATAGTCATTCCTTTCTTCAGCTCTTTGTATTGCTTCCAGAAATCCCTGAAGGACTGGTTTTGTGGACATGAATGCCTTCAGCCTATTTATGTCATGGAAGATTTTTCTTTTCCTTTCAACTATAATAGACATTTCAGATGGGTGCAGTAATCTGGGATGTCATCTGTGGTCATTTAAAACTGGCTTTCATAGTTTGCACTGAAAAGTTAGCTGTAATCCTAATGGGTTTTTCTTTATATGTGACTTGTTTCTCTTTTGCAGCTTTCAGTATTGTCTCTTTGTTTTGTATATTTAGTGTTTTTACTATGATGTTTCATGGAGAGTTTCTTTTCTGGTCCTGTTTGGTGTTCTATATGCTTCTTGTATTTGTATGGGCATGTCTTTCTTTAATTTTGGGAAATTTTCTTCCACGATTCTGTTGAAGATCTGTTCCATGCCATTATTTTGGGATTCTTCTCCTTCCTGTATGCCTATGGTTCATAAGTTTGGTCTATAAAAAGAATATATTCTTTCCTGTATATTCCATTCTTGTGATTTCTTAAATTTTTCATAATCTTTGCTTGAGTGGTCTAATTCATCCACTTTGTCTTCCAGACTTGATATTCTGATTTTCATTTTATTCGTCCTAGCACTCATGTTGTTTCTAATTGACTTACTGAGTGTTTCACTTCCTTCTTCATTTCAGCCTGAAAATTCTTCAATATTTAGCTCCTTTCTGAATTCATTCAGATGTTTATCCTTATCTTCCTTCAGTTCTTTGATTTCTTTTTTTGTGTGTTCTTTAAATTCACTGAATTTTTTTGTCATGTTTATAATTGTTCAAGTTCCACATCCTGCATTAACTCTAGGGGGTTCTTATTGTACTTCTCTAGAGGACTATTGGTATTTGGTGGAGATATGTTATTTTGTTTTTTTGTTATTATTTTTTCTCTGTGATTTTGACATGTGGATTTCTTTTGTAGTTTCTGATTCTTGTGTGAGACTCAAGCCTTCAAGTTCAGGTCTTCTTTTTGTGAACTTTATGTGTCTTTGTATTTTGCTTTTTGAGCATGAAAAACTGGTTCCTCTAAGCTTCTGGCTCTGTCTTTTGATTTTATATTGGAGTGGCCAGATTGCTTTTGTCTTCAGGAGTTCCCACAGATGAGGATCACATGTTTTCAGGCTTTCTCTAAGGTTTGGATCCCTCCAGGAAAGATTTTGGCCTCAGGAATTTGGGGGTTGGACTGGCCTGGGAGCAGGGCCCAGGAAAGATGCTGGTCTTGAGTAGCTGGTGGCCCTGCAACCCAGAGATGCAAAAGGAGATGGGGGCAGGAAGAGGCTGCAAGGGCTTCTGGGGACTGTACTGAGGAACTGGGTTGGTCTGGGTGCAAAGGATCAGGAATCGGAAAGGTCAGCCCTGGGGTCCAGGAAAGCAGTGGGTGGGTTGTGCAGCCCAGGGAAGTAGAGGGAGGTGAGGGTGGGGCCAGGCCCAGAAGCAGTGCTCCTGGGGACTCCAGAAGGAACTGGGTTGGTCTGGATGCAAAGGATCAGAAAGCAGTGGTGGTTCCCCTGGTGCCTGGGGCACCAATACAAGGAATGGGACAGGTCCCTGTCTAGGAGGAGAGACGAGAGGGGGAGATGGGAGGGTGAATGAAGCTGAGGAGTCAAGGACATAGGGTACAATCGACTTGCCCGGGAGAGAGGCCTGCGGGTTGTGCCGTAAATAAGATTCTTTATTGTGTTTGCATGATTAAAATTCAGCCTCATTGTTTGTTCCATTTCTTTGGTGACATTGTGGTATAGTCACATTGTTACCTCTAAATGAATGTCAACTTGTTTTACCTCAACTCTAGCCAATGGATACTTCATTAGACTGAATTGTCTTGTGCCTATGCAACCTTGAAGCTGCAGCTTAATTACCACCCATTTTATGCAGTGGCTCAGAGAGCTGTGCTCAGCTGTGTCAGTTCTGAAAAAAAATATAAGCCATGGCATTACTTATATCTAAGAAAAATGGCTACTTGGGTTAATAAGATAGTAATATTTAGCCGGTAGTGGTGGTGCAGGCCTTTAATCCCAGCACTGGATAGGCAGAGGCAAGCGGATCTCTGTGAGTTCTAGGCTAGCTTGGTCTCCATAGTGAACCCAGGACAGCTGGAGCTACCAGAAGACCCTGTCTCAAAAAGACCAAAAAATTAAAAAAAAAAAAAAGTAATATTTGGTAAAAGAAAAGAAAAAGAAAAAGTTTGCCTTTCGATTTGTTGAAAATTCCTGTATGCTCTAATTCTCAGCTTGCTCAAATAGAGATTAACCTCTTTCCATTGTAACCTTTTTACTTCTGTGTTGGTATATCCCTTTATGGTTTTCTAGCTAACTTAGATTGAGGATCTGTCATTGGATATAAAAATTAAAAATCTTGATACATGTTCAGAATTGCTTTATGATTCTAAACTTGGAGATTTTGTTCATCTGTACACACACGCACAAACACATGCATGCACACACACACGCACACATGCAATTTAATGTCTTATTTGTCTTTCAGACATCAGGAAACCAGATCCTGGCAGAGGATTTTGAAGTTGAACTAAATGAAGAAAAGGCTACAAGTGGCATGGCCCCCAATGGCTGGAAATCTCGAATATTTAGGAATTCTACTAATAAAAGTCATAAAAGTTCACGAGCACATCAGAATGGGCTTGATGTAGAAACCAGTGAACTTGTAAGTTATTTTCCACTCCAGTTAAGCCTTTTGCTTTATATTTTGCTGTTGAAATCCTTACCCTCACAGGTGTTTTTCAGGTGTAGATTCCTACTGTGTGCCATACTTCTCTTTAAAAGAAAAGGAAGCCAAGTGTGGTGGCACACGACTTTAATTCCAGCACTTAGGTGCCAGGGACTCTCAGTGAGTTCAAGGCCAGCCTGATCTACGTAGCCAGTTCCAGGACAGCTGGGGTTACAAGGACACGCTGTCTCACAAAACCAAATAGATAGATAGATAGATAGATAGATAGATAGATAGATAGATAGATAGACAGAGATAGATAGATAGATAAACAGATAGATAGATAGATGATAGATAGATAGACAGACAGATAGATAGACAGACAGATAGATAGATAGATAGACAGATAGATAGATAGTTTTTAAAAAATGTATTTGTCAGTGAATTAAAATAAATTCCAATTAAAAATTGATTTCCAATTAAAAAAATAGATAAAATGTAGTCTTTGTGCTGAGATGCTTAATATTACAATCAAATATTCTATTCATCTTTATATCCACAAATAATAAAGTTAGTCTAAAATAAGTTCTAGTATTAGTATACTTTGTGAAGTAGGATTATATTTGATTAGCTGTACTAAAAAACCCAGAGTAGCATCAGTTTTAACAGGTTGAATGTTTTTAATTTTCCTTCACATAAAAGAAATGTTAAAGGTGAAAAGTTCAGATCTAGAATGGGAGCTCCACGATAGCCAGGGACTGTGCTCCCTTCATGTTCACCTTACCTTCCTGACTGGCAGCTCCCATCCTCACAGTCACCATGATCTGTAAGGACGCCTGAAGCCCTAGCTGGCTTTCCTGTGGTCAAAGCAGCAGGAAGGAGCAAAGCAAAAGACTTTCCCTAAGTCTCACCCAGTGCTTTCGTTTACAAGTCATTGCCCATGTCTTAAGCATAGAGCAATACCCAGCTACAAGGGAACATGGAAAGTTGTATCTTTTTGCTAAATGCATTGATACACTGAATTATATGGAATTTCTTTTACTAAGAAAAAAAAAACAAATGAAATAGAATTTCATGAAATAGAAAAATTGAATATTTCAGACCATCCCTCACCAGGAGACATTCATATTCAAGTGAAATGCTTTTATACTAGAGAGGGGATCAACCTCAAGAAAAGGTATTTTCTTTAAAAAAAAAAAAACTTTATTGAGAATTTCATGCATGCATATAAGGCGTTTTGATCAAATCCACACCCACTCCCTCCTCCCAACACCTCCCATAACTCCCTATCACTTTTTTTCTGACAACTTCGTGTGCTCTTCCTTCCTTCCTTCCTTCCTTCCTTCCTTCCTTCCTTCCTTCCTTCCTTCCTTCCTTCCTTTTCTTTCTTTCTTTTCTGGGGCTTTTTGCTATTCTAATAGTCCATCCTCTGAAGAGGTAACCCTAAAATCTTTTAGGGATTAGATAAGAGCTCCCAAATACTTTTGACATTTTTGGCCTTTGGAACAGAGTATGTTGCTAAGAGGCCCAAGGACATTTTGACTTTTAGCCAAGAAACTGACTACTTTTCTTTTACCCTAACTGCTTAGCCACTTCCTACTTCCTATTCTTATCACACCATCCTCTGAAGAGGTTACCCAAATTGCAGATAGGGAATTGAGACACAGACTGCTCTGGCTTCTTCCTTGCTGAACAGGGACGCAGGGTGAGGTAATTTGGGTACCCTTTCAATGGGTCTATCTAAAAGACTCCCAAATTGCATAACTCTTATCTGTAGGGAGAAAAGAAGGTCCTTGACTGGTGTTTAGGGGATGTGAAGGAGAAGTAAAGGCAAGAGTACTTAGCATTACAAGTTCTAGACAGGGAACCAGAAAAAAGTCAAAACACGATAAATTTCAAATATTCATATCAGAGTCCATTGGGATTTCTTGATGACAGCTTCCAAAAGTATCCATCTATTGGGTTCCTCCTCATTTTCCTTTTGTCTGCCAAGGCTGGACTCAAAAGTGACAGACTCAGGATTTGTTTTCAAGTGCTTTGATAGCTGTTTGGAGTGACTAGAATCAGTGTCAGTTCCCTCTCAAAGGCTTCTAGATAGGGGGAGAAAACAAATTTAGCAGGTGTGTCAAGTTGACACTAAAGCTATCCAGCACAAGCTGGTTGTCTCCCTTAGCTACAGGTGGACACTACAGTATTGGAGACCAAGATTTGAAGTCTTACGTTTGAGCAGCATTTTCTGCTTAGAAACAAAATCATCAATGAGAAATAATTGTCTAAATAACGTTTTGTATGGACTTAACCCTAATGTATGGGAAGTGTAATCCCTTGAACTCTTAAAGAAATATACTGATCACTTTAATCTTTGGTTATAGCTTTCCTTTTGGGTGTTTAAGACCATACAATTGACCCAAATAAACCAATTTATTTTTACTCTTCAGGTTGTTGGAGGATGTGTTCCTCAGGGGTCACATGGGGTTGGGAGGAGCCCCTGGCTCCTTTCTTTTACCAGTTCTATCTATGTGAAGATAAGTCAAAGGTCCTGCTCGATGGTGGCTGGCTTCACTTGGAAGCATGGAGGACGTGTTTCCTCTGAGTTGACCCTCCTCTTTGTAGACTGGACACTGGTTCAAGTCCATCTAGTGGGGTCTCCATGACCTCCCTGAACAGGACAGATGACTCACCACAGTTACAGGACATTTTGAGAAATGCTCCACAGTCCCCTGGAACTTAGTCAACCGAAAAGATATTTTCTTATCTCAAGATACAGTTTCAATGTACTCTAATGCTGAAGACTGAGTTTCTTTTAGCTCATGGCATGAAGAAAAGAACCCATTCATTTGCATCCTTTTTTTCCTGGCCGACAATATGATTTATGACAGAAATTATAGGGGATAGGGGTTCTGTTAAGCAGTCTTAGTCTTGTTACATTTATAGAAAGAGTAATAACAGTTCTGTCATTGTAAAGCTTAATTATCATAAGTAAAATAAGCAATTTCCCCTCTTTGGGGCTGTGGAATTACCGACTTTTCATTTCCCGATCTAGGCTGAGATTTGTTTTGCTCAATCTTTAGAGCCCATTATTTAAGGAGCATTTCTGTTGAAGAAGTGTACCAAGGAGAAGGTAGGAAGAAGATGCCACAGTCAACAAGATTGTCCTAATAATCAGCACAGAGGGGCAAATAATGTGCCAAAGGAGAGGGCAAGAGTAAGTCTGATTAGAGGGGCCTGGGAATAGCCCCCTGAGTGCACAGAAGAAAAGAATTGGAGGAAGAGACTCATAATCACCCTGGAGACTGGGTCTTAAAGATGTCAGCCATGGAAGAAAAAAACCCCTAAAGTTCAGTAAAAATGGGTAATTTGAAAAGAAAGGGCTGAGTAGAACCTATTTCTGTGTACTCTGTCTCATAGACATAAAATCAGTCCAACTAAATTAACTCATGAGTGTGGGATTCCATGTCTATGGTTGTTTAAAGTTAAGTTGCTTTTGTAGCTGGGTGTGGTGGCGCACGCCTTTAATCCCAGCACTCAGGAGGCAGAGGCAGGCAAATCTCTGTGAGTTCAAGGTCGCCTGGTCTACATAGTGAGTTCCAGGCCAGCTGGGGCTACAGGAGACCCTGTTTCAAAAAGACCAAAATAAATAAATAAACAAGGTGAATGACTGCTCAGGTAGTACACCCAAGGTATACCTCCACATGCTTGTGTACCCTCACACATGTGCACCCCCACATTTGAAACAGGGTCTCCCTGTAGCCCCAGCTGGCCCGGAACTCACTATTGAGACCAGGCTGACCTTGAACTCACAGAGATCTGCCTGCCTCTGCCTCCTGAGTGCTGGGATTAAAGGCATGCCACCACACCCAGCTAAAATATTCTTTATGAGACCTAAATCCTTCACACTTGATCAGAAATTTAGTTTAGTATTTGCTGAGAATGTGCCAGGAACTGAGTACATTCCTAGGAATATAAAGACATAGTCTTCACAGTTAAAAAAAAATCAGTAGAAAAGAGCCTAGTATAGAGAACAAATTTGCAGACCACGAAACAAGCTGTGAAATAAAAAGACATCTGCTCCGGGAACAGTGGTCAAAGAAAAGTGTGATTAATTTGGAAGCACTGGGCAGAATTCTAGGGTGAGGGTGGGGAGCCCAAGCCCATGTCCTTTGATTAACGATATTGTACATTTGTAAGGACACTGACCCACCTGTTCACACCTATGGCCTCATTTGACGCTGGTGTCACTGCTATTGGAACGACAGGCTGCAGCATTATTCTAGGATGAGAAAACTACAGCTGAGCTCACCTGGCTCAGCCATGGCTGTCATAGACCCAGAACTGTCCAAGTCCAGAGCTGAAACGTGGATCCCAGGTCATTTATGCCCAGATCCTGCTGCCTCTCAACCTGCAGAGGCTAGAACAGAGACACCTGATCACACCATGGAAATTGCCTCTTCTATGTACGATTCATAATCTGTATGTGCTGTGTCATTGGCGGGCACTGTCCTGTATTCCCTAGTGAAGGGCTAGCCATTTAATTTGCAAGATTCTTGAGGTAATAAGCCATGCCTTCTCTGTGTCCACAAACACTATGAGTGGTTGTGTTTTCACCTGCTTGTTCTGATATTTCTATGTTCTAGGATGCAAATGTGCCACCAGTGTCTTTCCTGAAGATCCTGAAACTGAATAAAACAGAATGGCCCTACTTTGTGGTAGGGACAGTCTGTGCTGTTGTCAATGGGGCCCTGCAACCCGCGGTCTCCATCATACTGTCAGAGATGATCGCTGTAAGTCTGAAAACACCCCGTGTGGCCTGAATGCAGCAGTCCTTCAGCTGCTGCTTACCCTAACCTCACCCACTCTGGGGTTAAGCTGCCTCAAATTAAACTAGGCCAAAATCCTTAGTTCCTTTTTAGGCTAAGGGAAAAGCTAAATTGATCAGTTTTATGTGAGGTGTATTTTACCACAAATTGAAATAACTGTAACCTTTGAGCCATCTTATGACATTAATGAACTTATAAAGCCTGAAGTCAATGAAGAAGGTATTCTAATTAGCTCTCATCATGTAAAACCTGTATCAGGCACAGGCACCTCATTTGTTTACTGAGGGGGGCTGGTCTTTGCTGGTAGTCCCTCAGGGTTTTTACCCAGTCCAAGACCAGGCACAACAGGGAGTGGCATTCTGGAAGCTGCAGGAGTAGCAGGGGGCCAATATGTAGCAGTCCTCCAGGAAAGGCAGGAGAGAACAGGCTGATCACAGATAAGGAGCATGTGGAGCAGCCTTACCACACACCCCCATTCCTGGCTAGGTAGAGTTCTGCTTTGTACAGTCCCAGGTGTCCTCCATAGCCTACCCCAACATTGGCATCACTGTTGGAGGCCCAGCTATCCCACGTGTCCCAGAAGCAAGCCCAGCTCTGGACATCTGGACTAGTCTCCAGTTTGAACATAGTTATTAGAGAAAAGGAAAGTGATTCTCAAAGTCATAGATCCAGAATATAGAATAGAGTTTTCAGGGGTTAGGAGGAGGAAAAATAGGGAAATATTGTTTAATGGAATATTGAAAATGCCCTGGATCTGGAATGTGAGAGAGGCTATACAACAACTTTTATGTGCATATATCACCAAATCGTCCACTTAATAGTGGCTAAATTGGTCCATTTTACCACAAACCGAAAAACGCACGTATTCAAAAGCTACATTCAGAGATGTGGCATTCAAGCATTATATAGGGTGAGAATGAACAAGGGTCAATCTAGCCAGCTAAGTGAGTGTTCCAAAATGTTCTTTTCTAGATCTTTGGCCCTGGGGACGATGACGTGAAGCAGCAGAAGTGCAATATGTTCTCCCTGCTTTTCTTGGGTCTGGGGATTCTTTCTTTTTTCACTTTCTTCCTTCAGGTAAGTAGCTATAATTTACCCTTCTCTTCAAGTCTGCAATGGAATTAGACAAATTATTACTTATTTACTTACTTACTTACTTAATTAATTAATTAATTAGTAGTAAAAGGAAATTGTCTGGCAAGGAGGCTTGGGGAAGTGCAGCCTAATTGTTCCTTAATTCAAGAAGAGGTGGAGCTATGCCAGCGGACTCATTTGCACTTAACAAGTAGAACACCCTTTTTCTATAGCACAGTGACTAAAATGTATCTCTGTATAGAATACTGTTTCTTCTTATTTTTCAACCATTCTATAGAAAGTATAGGAACATACCAAACACTGTAGTTAAATACTGTATCTTAGTTAATGAGATGCTGCCTTTAAAAGTTACTGAAATGGATGAGAAGACAAAACTTGAAGGATTCAAGTGTTACAGTCCCAACATATACTAACGATTCAGCAGTGCCAGCATTTTAAGTTGGTACTCCAAATTAGTATGTGGTCATAGGCTTTTGTTATTTGAAGAATTGATTAACATATAAGTAATGTGAAATCAGTGTGAATGCATGCAGTTGTGTCAGGACACTAATGAAAATCAAAAGGAGCAAGAGCCTTTGTTTTCTCCCCCAGGGCTTCACATTTGGGAAAGCTGGTGAGATCCTCACCACAAGGCTGCGGTTCATGGCTTTTAAAGCAATGCTAAGACAGGTGAGCATATTGGATTTGGTGCTTAGGTTTCTTTCATTTTAAGGCTCTTCCTGCTGCAGTTGGTATGCTAACGGTCATATTTCCCTGCCAAGACTTCCAAGCAAGACTGACCTTCCAAGCAAGGGTCCTACAGGTTGTCCTTGTCCTGCAAAAGCCAGAGTCTTCTCAGGGTTTTCATGGAAGTAGGCTTCATTTCAGTAGCTTTTTGGCTTATTCTGCAACTATATCAATGTGAATGCTCTTATTTCAAGTACCAGTGTTTCTTTTCTGGATCCTGCACAGACCATGGTCAGTCTTTACAGACTGTAGGGTGCCTTGGTACACAGGAGAAGATGGTAGGTAGCATTCATGTTTGTGTGCCACAATCAGCTTTCTAACTAGGTTTTTTTCAAATGCTGATAATTATGTTTTGTCTTTTTTGAACTCTGTTTTTACATTAATTCACTTATCAGTTCTTTGAAATATTACTTATTATCTAAGTTCACATTCTAAGGTAGGATGTGTGGGAAATGTGCAAACATAGGTGTTCCACTTTTAAAGAAAAATTGTAGAGATCCAATTGACTTGACTTGGTTACATCCCTGTTGATAGCAGGGCTCATGGTAGGCATTATATTTTGAGCATATCTGAGTTGGTAATTCTTTTTGGTAGTTTTTAAACTGCTTATATAGGGGAAATAATTTTACATGAAAGTAAAAGATGTCCTGAATAAATATTTAAATTAAAATAAGATCTATGACACTTTTACAATCCCTGTTTAAACAAAATTTTAAAAAGAAGCATGTTGAGAACCCAATGTTTAATTTCCATGCCTAGAATTTACAAGAAAGGCATGTCCTATACAAGACCACCCTCCTTAAATCAGAGCAGAGATGTTTATAGTGAAGTTGGGGTGATTCAATATAGCACCAGAAGGGGCAATGACTTTAGGTGATGAACCTGCTTCTACCTCAGACTGGAGATTTCCTTCTTGTCAGGGAAGGGCAGTCAGGAGGCAGAGCCCAGTGTGTATGTGGCTGGCTGTGTGCCCAGGATTGTGCCTGGAACTCCACTCTGTACAGGTTTCCCTTGAGTTTCAGTACCAAAGTTCACTGTAGAAATTTCTCCCTTGTTGGGGAGGTTGTCTTGTTTTTTTTTTTTGTTGTTGTTGTTGTTGTTGTAAGCTGATTTAGAGATTTTTTTTTTTTTATTCCACAGGACATGAGCTGGTTTGATGATCATAAAAACAGTACTGGTGCACTTTCTACAAGACTCGCGACAGATGCTGCCCAAGTCCAAGGAGTATGTAGATTGTACTCCGCTGCTATTTTTCTTTAATAAATAAGCAAGCATATGGCATAGCAACACTGTTAAGATGCTTTCAGCTGGGGAATAGCTTAGTGTTGGACAACTTGTCTAGTATGCACAAGACCCTAGGTTCAATTCCTGTACTGACGAGAAAGAAAAAAAAAGATGGTTTCAGTTGGAAATGTTATAAAACTCAACCAAAACTTTCCTGAACAATAAGAAGAAGACTAGATTTCCAGGCATGTTGACCCACTGGCTCATAAATCAGACACTCAGGTTCCTTCTGTTCATACGGTGTGAGCTGCCTCCTCAGTATTGGCTTCATCAGGCTCAACAAGTCAAGCTATAAGCTTCCTTGTTTCCCATCAGTGAAAGGGCACATACCTGTACCTAAACTTCCCTTAACTCTAATGGGAGCTAATGTGGGTCACACACTCCATTTTGAACTAATAACTGATCAGGGTCTCTGCCCTGAGCAGTTTAGGTCTCAACGCTGGAAGCTGAGGAGGGTGCATTAGTTACTTTTCTGTTGATGTGATAAAATACCATGATCAAAGTAACTTCTAAAAGGAAGAGATTATTTGACTTACAGTTCCAGAGGGGTAAGAGTCTATCATGGCTGGGGAGGCATAGTAGCAGAGGTGACTGGAGCAGAACGCTGAGAACTTACGTCTTGAAACATGCACAGGGAGCAGAGAGAGAGAAACCCAAAATGGGGCATGCCTATGAGTCTCAAAGCCCACTCCTGGTGACATGCTTCCTTCACAAGGCCGCACCTCCCAAACCACCACCACTTCAAGAACTGAAGCCAAGTAAATACTTGGAGCCTATTGGGGAACAGTCCCATTCAAAGCACAACATTCCACTTCCTGGCCCCCCTAGGCTCATGGCCGTATCATAATGGAAAATTAATTTAGTCCAGTTTTAAAAGTTCTCATCTTTAACAGTCTCAACACTGTTCAGAAGTCCAAAGTCTCTTCTGAGACTCAAGGACTCTCTCAACTATAACCCCCTGCCAAATTAAAAAGCAAATAACATACTTCTAACATACAATGGAATAAATTCACATTCCCATTCCTAAAGGGAGGGAAGCATACTGAGGAAATACTGGACCAAAGCAAGACTGAAAACCAGCAGCACAAACACCAAATTCTGTAGCTTCATGTCCCATGTCTGGGGCTTTGTTCCAAAAGGCTTAGATGACTTAGCCCCTCCATCTTTGCTGCCTACAACATACATCTCTCTCCTTGGCTGATGCCATTTCCTGTAGGCAGCTCTTCTTGGCAGATAACTCACAGTTCTAGCATCTCCAACATCTTAGGGTTTCCACTGCCAACGAGGCTTCACCTTCACAGATTCACAGAATAATCTACCAGGTCTTCTTGGCCTTCCAGGGCCTTCTCAAAGAACTCCCCTGCTCTATGCTGCCTGGCCTCAGTGTGGTCCTAGTTTTCTGAACTGTACAACCACTAATCCAGCCTTATATGTGTTTGTGGTAGATGGTCTTTAGGAGGTGAGTACTTTGTAACATGGTTTTCTAGAAGAGTATAATTTTCTGTCTGAACAATTGAACCAAATGGTCTTTAAAATTACAAATGTTGGGGTTGGTACCTTTATGAAAAAGGCATGTGGCCCCACAGTTCGTCCACAAAGCAGAGCAGGTGATTACTTGGGTCCCTGTTTGTCACATGGGTAGGAGAAGGACGAGTGTGAAAGTTATGCCAAAGCAAACCTCATGAGTTGGGCACAGGTGTCTTGGGTTTGTGGAGAAAAGAGTGAAAACCCTCCTATCCTTCTGACCAGAAGGCCCAAGGGTGGAGCCCATGGGTTTGGAATGTCACGTACAGCTGCATTATTCTTTTTCTCTTGCAGGCCACAGGAACCAGGTTGGCTTTAATTGCACAGAACACAGCCAACCTTGGAACTGGTATTATTATATCATTTATCTATGGTTGGCAGTTAACCCTTTTGCTGTTATCGGTTGTTCCATTTATTGCTGTATCAGGAATTGTTGAAATGAAAATGTTGGCTGGAAATGCCAAAAGAGATAAAAAAGAACTGGAAGCTGCTGGAAAGGTATGTTAAATAAGGTGTCAGGTAGTAGAGGTGTGGTTTGTGGGCATACTTTGCTTGAATTGTTGAATTATACTTGTTTTAATGTTCTTACTATAAATAATTTTCAAGACAGTATAAAATATTTTTATTAATAATGCTTAAGGCTAAAAGAGATGATTAATGTAAAATTTTTAGCCTCCAGAAAATATGTATTATAAAGATCTTTCAAACTGTCAAAATGCATTTCATCTTGACTTTGTCTTGACGTCATTGTTAGAACAAATGTCACTATTTTACAGATAAAACTTTAAGGCAGAGAATAGAAGTGAATTATTCAGGGTCAGACATTTGGCTGTACTTGGCTTTTTTTCCCCCTTCTTGGCAGCTATCACTACTGTTAAAGTGCTAAAGTTAGCAGCCACCAGATGGCAGTAATGCCTTATTTTGTGGTTTCCTGTCTAGTGAAAATTGAGCTAACATTTCCTGAGAAATAACAGACCAACCGTGTGACAACCATTGTACTAAGTGTAGGCACTTGTTCTTAGTTATCTTCACAGTAATGCTGGGAGGCAGATGACAGTGCTGCTTCATTGTGTGTGTGTGTGTGTGTGTGTGTGTGTGTGTGTGGCAGGGGGGTTGGTGTGGAGGTTGTGCATGCACAGGAGAGTGTGGGCGTGCAAGCACTGGCCTGTGCATGCAGAGACAAAGAGGCATAGTGGGTGTGTGACTTCCTTTGTTGCTCTCTTCCTGTTCTCTTGCTACATGGTCTCTCACTGAACCCGAAGCTTGCTATTTTGGTAAGACTGGCTGCCCAGCAAGCTCCCAGTATTTGCCTGCCTCTGCCCCCAAACAGTGGGGTGACAAGTATAAGCAGCCATGCCTGGTTTAACCTGGGTGCGGGTATTTGACCTAAAGTCCTCATGCTTACAGAGCAAGAGCTCTTGTCCACTGAGCCATCTCCTCATGTCCTTCATTTTGCAAATGTAGAGGTGTGAGCTAGGATACAGTCCAAGCCACAGCTCTCACCAGGACACGCGCTATAGGTGTTTACATATATCTGAATCTACATATAAACATTTTATTTGCAGCCTAGATACATTTAGTTTATGTGTTAAAATGTAGCTTGTGCTCATGAACATTTTTGTTCTTAAGGATAGAAACATCATCCTTTATTGAAACATTAGGATGTAAAGCAGATAGTGAATGTAAACCGGGAGTTTCCATAGCACAACTTTTAAAACGCCTTCACAAGTTCTACTGCAAATGTTCTCATTATAGCTATGTGAGATGAGACAGATAGTGTCTCCACCTTTAGGGAGGGAGATAGCCTCTGAGGCTGAGTGATTCTGCATATGTGTGATCGCCATGAAAGGATAAGATTAGAGCTGGATGTGGTGCTATATGCTTGTAATCCCATCACTCATGAGGTTCAAGACCATTTTGGGCAACATAGCAAGACACTGTCTCAAAAACAAAATATAACAAGCAAACCAAAAAAAAAAAAAAGCAAAAGGGACAGCAGGATGGCAATGAAGCCTGCAGCCATTCCCACCTCCCTAACAGGCATCTGCTGTAGCTCCAGGCAGGGTCAGTGTCCTCCAAGCTTCAACTGAACATTTGTCATTTTCACCTGCTCTGGAATCACAGCTGCCTAGAAACATGCATGGCTCCTGGACTTAATTTCTGGTTTCCAGTTGCTAAAACATCCTGTTGTCTGCCATCTTTAAGATACTTTAGGCCACTATTTTCTTCATGTCTGTGTGCCATAGCTAACTCCTGGAAAAAATACCTTATAGCTTTGTTCCCTCCCCCACCATCCTACTGTCCTTCTTCATTCTAGAAGAGAAAATTGTCGCAATGAAAATACATTTTCCTGGGGCTGGAGAGATGGCTCCATGGTTAAGAGTGCTGGCTGATCTTGCAGAGAATCCAGGTTTGGTTCCCAGCATCAACATAGCAGCTAACAACCACCTGTAATTCCAGTTCCAGGGGATCCTAAGCCCTCTTCTGACCTCCACAGGCTTTGCATACCATGGTTCACTTACATACAGACAGACAATATACTCATACACTTAAAAACAAATTTAAAATAAAATTTTTAAAAGAAGTTTTCCTTAGATAAGTTAGACAGATGAAACCATCTTGGAAGTCGCTACCATAGTAGCCATTACTCTATTAAAAAATTTAGTACTTTTGGGGCTGGAGACATGGTTCGGCAGTTAAGAATACTGTTTTTGCAGAAGACCCAGGTTTGAATCCCAGCACCCACGTGGCAGCTAACAACTGTTCATAACTCAGGTTCCAGGGGATCCGACAGTCTCTTCTGACCTCTGCATGCATTGCATAACACGGGTGCACTTACCTGCGTGCAGGCAATACACATAAAATAAAAATAATAAATTAAGAAAAAGAAATTTAGTATTTTCATAAAAATGAAAATTATCAGAATGTTTGCAGTAGCAAGGCCGTCAAAATTGAATAGTATCACAAACAAAACAAAAGCTTTCAGTTCCCAGCCTTCGCCTTGCTGTTCATACTGGATGATGTTGGAGCAGACCCTGGCTCCACTGGCCTTTACACCTTGGAGAAATGAGAAGTCACCCAAGATACTGTCCAAGTCCTAACTTCCTGAAGCTCTGTTATCTTGGGGATCGGAGAAGGAATGACTTACTGTGTAATCTAATGCTTTAGTTGCTCCTTTAGCCTAAGAGACTTTAAAACCATGAGAGATTAGAAATGTTTTCATTTCTAGAAATTCAGTGAGTTCAATTTAGTTTGCCCAGCTTAACTATTGATTTACTAAGAGAATGAGGGTTAGAAAGAAGGTTCTAGCCGGACATGATAGCTCATGATCCCAGCACTTAGAAGGCAGATGCAGAAGGATTGCTACAAGCTTAAGAGCAGTGCGGTTCACACTGAGTTCTAGCCCAGCGGAGCTCCATGTGAGACCCTGGTTTGAAAAGAAGAAAAAAAATGTTCTGGATGATATCCACCCTCATCACTTGTTTAAAAGAAATAATCTTTTACCTGGAACTTTATTAATAGATAAAGTATGTAAATGAATTAGGATGACTTCATTTCAGTTTTCCAAAAAGGTCCTGGTATAGTTGGGGGAGGGAATAAAAAATATTATTATATCCACAAATCATATTTGTACTCATAACATGATTCTCTAAATAAAATCTTAATATATTTAAAGAATGCCAATTAATTATACCAGTCTGCTTCTTGTTATTCAGCTTAGTGAATACAGCCTACGTTTTCATGACTATCTTGACTAGGTTCTGTTTACTGAGATGAGGAACCTGTAATACCAGAGCTAAAATGCAAAGTTAATCCATTACCAGGAAATCAGAAGTTGAATGTAAGCTTGTTTACATTTATGGCTGGGTGGAGCAGCACAGGACAGTGGACTAAGAACCATACCCGGCACCAGGTGGAGGCCTGGAGTGACTCTGCAGCTTTAGGCAAGTAGGGAAATGCTCCTGCACCTTAGTTCCTCATTGGTGAAAGAGGAGCAATATTTACCCCACAGAGTTGTCCTGAGGCTAAAGGACACTGTGTCCATCATAGAGGTAACATTTGGGCTGTTACTACTCTTAGAACTTTCATTTATTAAAAAAAATATAAAGTTTTTCAGCCTAAGGTAACAAATATCTTTCACTTACAATGGAAAACTGAAATAAAATCTTAGAGCTAATAAAACAAAAGCATAAAGTTTAAGACCTGATACAGTATATTCAGGTGACTCAGCCCAGAACCACAACTTAGACTCAACATCTAAGTCAAAGACAACAGAGTTGGGCTATAAGAATGAAAATAAGCCTTTAATCCCAGCACTCAGGAGGCTAAGGGCAGGCAGATCTCTGTGAGTTCAAGGCCAGCTTGGTCTACATGATGAGTTTCAGGTCAGCTGGGGCTACAGGGAGACCCTGTCTCAAAAAGACCAAAAAACAAACAAAAAAAAACCTTCTGTTTGGTTTAAAGGGGTTTGATATAAAAGACACATTTCAAGTACAGGCAGCAGTGTGGTGGCTGGCTCTTAGATCCACAGCTGTATTCTCTCTGAGTCTCTCTGCATATCTGTTCCACTCCTCAATCACCCTGCATTCAGACCTGCTTCTTATGCCAAAAATGGCTTCCCAAGTGGCGACTTCCCTGAATCCATGGAGCCATCCAACAAGTACTTTCCTCCAGCTCTAGGGAACTGAATCTGAGTAATATAGGTCAAGCAGGTTTCCTTGGTGACTCGGGTCATATTGTTTCTATTTGTCATCTTTCTGCTTGTGAGTGGGCAGCTTGTCTAAGAAGAGGTGTGTTCAGGTGAAAATGACTATCGCCAATGGTCCCTCAGAAACAGTTGCTTAATCCTTTCTTCTATGACCCTACCCTATAAGAAAGCAAGGTCACTAAAGGGCTGTGAGTAAAGCCAGTCATGTGACTGCCCAGTAGCAGGGCTCTGAGTACAGCCATGGCGCTGGTACCATGGTCTTTATTCTTGCCCTCCAGTGTCAGCCTCCCTGAGCATCCAGAAACTTAGCTACCACACTGTGCACAAGCTCCATGGCCAGTTTTGTTAGAGACTTGGTCTTTAAGAACACGTTCTGTCTTTTGCCTTTAATTGAAGGACTCTTAATATTCAGAATACATTTTACGGAACCCTAAGCCTTATATATATTTTTTATTTCAGAAACAAAATACCATTTCTAATTAAGGTCTTTCTGTTACAGATTGCAACAGAGGCAATAGAAAACATTAGGACTGTTGTATCTCTGACTCAGGAAAGAAAATTTGAATCAATGTATGTTGAAAAATTGTATGGGCCCTACAGGTAATAACTACATGATTGCTACACACCTACTGCTTCCCCAAGGCCAAGTTGTTGCTCCCCACAAAAAAAAAAACCCGGTACAAACTTCTGATCTAAGCAATGGAAAAGATGTTTCTCTAATAATTATCTAAGTCCCTGAACTAGACTTTCATATTACTTGTAAATATAGTAAGACTAGGTTTCTAAGGGTTGAAATATAAAGAAGATTGCCTAAGAATTTAGTTATTGTAATCCAGTTGGGTGACTCAGGATGAACATTCTCTTAAGGAGTTACTCAAACCTTTATTTTCTTGAGTATGTAGGCAGATCCAAGTATGAGTCATATTTACTGTATTCAAAGCACTGTATCCCATTTGTTTTCTGAATAAGGACCAGATCCAAACCTTCACTGAAGATAAAGGCACGTAGCCTCTTTAACTGGCTTACAGTTGCATAATTTTAGAAACCCTCAATGATCTGTTTGACATTTGTCTCCATCATGGCCTGGTTTTGTAAACAATTTTTATGCTGACACAATTGAGCACAGATTGTAGATTGGTGCAATAGCGGGTGCTTTTCTTTTTGAGACAGGGTTTTACTGTAGTTCAGGCTAATCCACAACCTACTATATGGTCCAGGTTAGCCTTGAACTCATGATCCTTCTGCGCAGCCTTCAAAGTGCTGGTATTTCAAGCATGTACCACCATGCCTGGTTATGGAAGCAGCAGTTTTGAACATTTGCATATCTGAGCAAGGATCTTTGAAATTCTCGATGTGTTCCAGTTTTTCAGTTATGTGTATGTTATATGATGCTAAGGAACATGCAGTACATTTTTCATTTTGATGTTTGGCATGTGTATAAATCATTACCTATTACCTTATGGTATATTTTGAACTTCAAAGAATAAAAGAGGAGACCTGGCGTGGTGGCACACCCCTGGAGTCCAGCACCTGGGAGGCAGAGGCAAGCGGATCTCTGTGAGTTCAAGGCCAGCCTGGTCTACATAGTGAGTTCCAGGACAGCTGGGCTACAGGGAGACCCTGTATCAAAAAAAAAAAAAAAAAAAAAAAAAAAAAAAAAAGGGACACAAAAAGGCGCAAAATATAAAAAAAAAAAAAAAAAAAAAAAAAAAAAGAATAAAAGAGGAGCACAAAGCTGGTCATAATTTAAAGACTGAAAATGGTTCGATAACATTAAGTGTATTTCCATGGTTCTGGTCACAGTATACAAGTTACACTACCCAAATCAGCGATGCTGTGAATTTTCTCTGTCAAATGCTTTCTAATTTGAAAGTAAAATTATTGGTTTTGGGGGGAGGATTTAGAAGCTTAAAGAGTATAGCAAGAGGTCTAATTAGAAATAGTACAAAACAAATTTTAGGTGGAGCTGGCAGGATCTAGATTGGAAAACCTGATGTGTATCTATACAAATTTCAATTATCTAGCTTTTGTGAAATTGGAATGAGTTTTTTTTGTTTATTTTTGTTTTGTTTTGTCTTTTTGAGACAGGGTCTCCCTGTAGCCCCAGCTGTCCTGGAACTCACTATGTAGACCAGGCTGGCCTCAGACTCACAAAGATCTGCCTGCCTCTGCCTCCCAAGTGCTGGGATTAAAGGTGTGCACCACCATGCCCGGCCTGGAATGAGTTTTAACACAAGAGACTACAGCTAGTTACAGGATCTAAGATAACAGTATATAGATAAATCTGCATTCAGATAATTTAAATGTTATTTCTAATATTGGCATCCTAAATATTTTGACACAATTCTTAAATCATAGGGTCTAAACATCTGAGTTATTTAAATAATGTACTATAACAGTTATGACTTGAGCAACCACTATGTGCTAAGCACTATGGTAGAAGTTTATGTTGTTTTACTCTATTTAGTTCTCAAAACAATTTTGCGAGATTATTTCCATTGTAGAAGTCAGAAAGCTGTTTATAGAGACTGGATTACCTATTCAATTTGACATCCTTAAAGGCAGGAATCAAGCCCAGGGAGACTTTCAACTAGACTGTGCTGTTGAAGCTGAGTAGAAGGTTATGAACAATAACTGTGGATAAACTCATTTGCTTCCTAGGAACTCGGTGCGGAAGGCACACATCTATGGAATTACTTTTAGTATCTCACAAGCATTTATGTATTTTTCCTATGCTGGTTGTTTTCGATTTGGTGCTTACCTCATTGTGAATGGACATATGCGCTTCAGAGATGTTATTCTGTGAGTAGCTTTAGAAATATTAAGATGATTTTATGATAATTCTATGATAGGATCTCAATGGGCTTATACAAACGTTTGAAGTAGAAAAAAAAACAACTATCCAAAGATGAGATCAAGGAGTTAAATTTCCTGGAGCCTTCACTCTGGTAGGCACAGAAATCTGATCTTGTCAATGCCCAAAGTGCAGTGTCATCAACTCAGTGGTCTGAAATTAACCATGCTTGTGAAAATGATCATAAAGCATGAGTTTGACTGTATGTGTGACCCCAGTCAGGACAGAATGTAGGCAGAGACAAATTATTAGAAAGCTGTTCAAGACCCTGGGGGTGTTAGCTTGCTGTTTTTCTGTAGTCAACACATGGTCTTGACAACAGGATGGGAAATGTTTGACTAAAAATATGGCAAAGCTATTCTCTCCCCTAACTGAGAGTCAAGGATCAATTTTCAATCTTCCACATGTGAGTAGCCAATGTTGTCAGCATTATTTATTATAGGGACTACCCTTTCCCCAGTGTCTGTTGTTTGTGCCTTTGTTGAGAATCCTTTGGATATAGATGTATGATACATCTCTGGAGTACCTGTTATATTCCATTGGTTTATGACAATACAATGCTTGTTCGGCTATTGTGGCTCAATAGTATGTCTTGAAATCAGGTATTATGATGCCTTTAGCTTTATTGTTTTTGCTCAGTATTGTATCCTGATTTTTGTGTTTATGTTTTCATATGATTTTTAAGATTATTTTTTACAGTTATGTAAAAAATGTCATTGGTATTTTGATTGGGGCCGCATTAAATTTGGAGATTATTTTGGGTGGCATGGACATTTATTTTTAATATTTTATTTATTATTTTTATTTTATTTTTATTTTGCCCACATATATGTCTATGCATTTGTCTCAGCATGTGTGTGGAGATCCAAGAACAACTTTCAGGAATCAGTTCTCTCTTCCACCATAGGACCTGGGAATTTAACTGAAGTCTCAGACTTGTGTGGCAGTGCTTTTACCCACTGAGCCATCTTGCATGCCCTTGTTCTTCTTTGTCTAAGTCTTTGGGATATATCTTTAGGTTGTAATTGTTTGAAACCTTTCTCTCTTTTTTTTTTTTTGATGTTGGCACTCAATGCTATAAATTTTTCTTTTATTACTGTCTTTCTGCTTCCCACAAGTTTTAGTATATTGTCTTTCCATTTTTGTTTCAAGAAATTGTTAATTTCCTTTCTTATTGAATTTGTCATTTGTTCATTTTAAAGTGTTTTGTTTCATCTCTGTGTACTTGTAAAATTCCTTTTGTTGTTGACATCTTGTTTTGCTCCTTCGTGATCAGAAAAGATACAGGATTTCTTTTTTTTTTTTTTTTAATTTGGTCTTTTTGAGACAGGGTCTCTCTGTAGCCCCAGCTGACCTAGAACTCCCTATGTAGACTAGGCTGGCCACGATCTTACAGAGATCCCCCTGCCTCTACCTCTGCTGTGCTAGGACTAAAGGTGTGCAATACCACACCCAGCTCAATATTTTGATTTTCTTGAATTTAAGATTAGTCTGTTCTGTGGTGGCACACACCTTTAATCCCAGCACTTGGGAGGCAGAGGCAGGAGGATGTCTGTGAATTCAAGGCCAGCCAGGTCTACATAGTGAGTTCCAGGCCAGCTGGGGCTACAGGGAGACCCTGTCCCGAAAAAGAAAAAGAAAAAAAAAAAAAGATTAATCTGCTCTAGAGGAAGTTTCAGGAACTGAAAAGAATATGTATTCTGCAGCTGTTAGATGAAATGTTCTGTAAATGTCTGCCTGATAAATCTTATTATTTAAGTACAGTGATTATTAGTACATGTAGTGTAGTATTGAAAAAAATCACAAACTGGAAGTCAGAACTATTAACAGAATAGAAAAATCACTCAGTCTGGGATTCATTGAGCCCTACGACCTCATTAGGTTTCAGTTTTTTCATTATTAAAAGGGTGTAACTGGCCATTTAAATTAGTTAAGATCACAAATCAGAGTCAGTCATCAGGTACTTCAGGAAAGAAAATAACTTTGGAAGGTTACATTAACTCCAGGAAATTAGGAGCGCCTAAGTGGGAGGTGGGATAGGACATGGACGTGGACAATACCAAACTCTGGGACACTGAGGATCTTGCCTCTATTCTGGATTTCTTTTGTTAGTGGAACTTCATGGAAATGTGTGTGAGCTTGGGCAAATGCGGATTAAGGGGGAAATATGGATGTACCCATGAGAAGTTTGCTTTTGAAGATGTTCTGGAAGCTCATTTTAACCCTTCTTCTTTACCCAGGGTGTTTTCAGCAATTGTGTTTGGGGCAGTGGCTCTAGGACATGCTAGCTCATTTGCTCCAGACTATGCAAAAGCCAAACTGTCTGCCGCCCACTTATTCAGCCTGTTTGAAAGACAACCTCTGATTGACAGCTATAGCAGAGAAGGGCTGTGGCCTGTGAGTTCTTTCCTGTCTGATGACTATTTGATTAATTTTTTTTCCTAAAGGTTTTCTTCCTGCTAGATCACAATGACACGATACATCATATACTCAGCTTATTTTGTGATGTTTATGCCATTAGTATCTAACTTCCCTCACATTTAAAATTTTTAATAGAACTTTAAACAAAAGAAAAACCAACTTTACTAGAACAAAGTAACTGTGACAACAGGTTAGTCGTCTCTACATGAAATTGTTGGCGTATAGTATAGTCACGCTGATGTAGTTAGTGATTTGGCTTTAATTGCATCCATAATTGCTGGATTATAGTTGATAAAAAGGCCTTTATGTTTGCAATGAGAACAATAATCCTGTTTTATTATCTACAAAGGTCAATTCAGAGCAGAGTTCCCTTTGTATTTCACAAGCTGCTTCATACAGCAATGTGGGGAAAGGGGCTGGAACTTATATAGTCCCTCCAGGATTTCAACAAGTATTTCATGCTCTGAGAAAATTACTGGGCCCAGTAGGCAAGATGAGGAGAGTGAGGTAAGGGAGCTGCTGGGTTTGAGATACTGGCTGTGCACTCAAACTACATATTGCTTGCTGTGTCTCTTAAGCATTTGAGCCCTTGGCCACTGGCTGTACTCCAGCCTCAGAATCATCAGCAGGTGGGAAGGAAAATGTTTATGTTACATGAACCAGAACTTGAATTTTGAGATCATGTCTTTATGGTAATTTTTTGTCTAACCTATACCCCATCTTCACTTTCTATAATCATAACTTGCTAGCAATGTGAACTGGTGCCAGTAGTGAACTGAATATGCATTTCATGTTTAACTATTACAGTTTTTGGTAAAGCTTTCTTGAAATAATATTTTTACTTCTAGTAATCGTTAGACTGATTATAATAAAAATATGGCAAAAAATTTTAGGAAAAGTTTGAAGGAAGTGTGACATTTAATGAAGTCGTGTTCAACTATCCCACCCGGCCAAACGTGTCAGTGCTTCAGGGGCTGAGCCTCAAGGTGAAGAAGGGTCAGACACTGGCCCTGGTGGGCAGCAGCGGCTGCGGGAAGAGCACGGTGGTCCAGCTGCTTGAGCGATTCTATGACCCCATGGCCGGGACAGTGGTGAGCACACTTTTTTAGTTTCTTAAATTGATTTAAGGCTCTGTTTTATGTGGTCAGACCAATGTTGTCATATTGGAAACAACTGGATGAGTGAAACCTGTAATCCTGTTTGATACAGTGACTATGCTCAGTAAACTACAAACTGACACCTCTATCAGATAAATATATGGGGACAATACGGCATATATCTGAAACTTGGTGTTGCCCGGGAAATATTAAATATAGAATTGACCCCTGGCCTCCAGTGGGCCTTTTGGCTCAGCCTGACCTACACTAGCTTATAAAGGCAGGAAGGAGACTACATCCTCTGCTTACAGCAAGCAAAACAAGAACAGAGGCACTGTGTGCTCCTCCTTGAAGCTCTTCACTGTCCACTGACCTCTTCATTGTCCACTGACCTCTTCTGCAGTTTCCATTGAGTTCTATCCTTAGTGGAGCTCTATCCTGTCAGAAGAGAAGAGGGGGAGGTTTAAGGCTGGCAACTCTGGTGGGGGGCGGGGTGGATAAATCCAGAGTCAAGCGCTCACACTTGCGGAGTTCAAAGTAGACTCTCAGGACAGGCAGGTGCCTACTCATTCTTCCCCCACTGCCTTCTTTGCCTCATCTCTAAGCTTGAGCTCTGGCTCTCTGACCTTGACCATCAAGCTCATTCATATTTGGCTTTCATCATAAATTTCTGGCATCTATCTGTCTTCACGGAGTGAAGATCTGTCTCTAACTGAGAATGCCTGTATCTGCCTGGGGATGGCATCTGTGACCTGTAACATGAGTGCTTACCCTCAATTATTCAGTCAACAAATGGAAAAATTGGGACAGAAGGGATGGCTCATTTGGTAAAGTGCTTGTTGTGCAAGCATGAGGATCCAAGTTCAGTCCTCAGAACTTATGTAAAAAAGCCTGGCACAGAAGTGTGCATCTGTAACAAGAGCAGTGGGAAGGCAGAGACAGGGGGATTTCTGGAGTTCATTGACCATCTAGTCTAGCCAAATCAGTGAACTCCAGGTTCTGCAAGAGACTATCTCAAAAAATAATGTGGGGAATTATTGCAGAAGACAGCCAACATTGACCTCTAGTTGCTACAGGCAAAAGCATATATGTGCATGAGTATGAGCATACACACACATGGTCATGTACAGACACATGTGCACACACATACATATACAAAAGTCAAAGAAGTTTAAGGTTGGCAACTTTCAAAGAAAAGGAGAAACAGGACCTGGGGCGTTTTTTTTTTTTTTTTTTTTTTTTTTTTTTTTTTTTTTTAAAAAAAAAAAAAAAAAAAAAAAAAAAAAGAGGACGATAAATCTTTCACTGTGATATATCAAAATAATTAAGGGAAAAAAAATTTTTTTTAGTTCCCAGTTCAAAGTACAGTCCATCCCGGGGGATTTTTTTTTTTTTTTTTTTTTTTTTTTTTTTTTTTCTGATATGCCTACATGGAGAAGATAAGGTCAAGTTGAAGGACTGGAGCATTCTGGGGACAGCAAATTTGAGTATAACACCTTGATGCAACTTCCTAAAGGCAGAGGATGGCACACATACCTGGTGAAGGGCAGAGAAGATAAAGAGACATGTTGAAAGACAAGACAAGACCAATGTATTACAATCGCTTCACCATTAGACCAAAGCAAGGATGGCTTAACTGTCATGAAAATCATCTTGCCAACCATGCTGTCATTCAACAGCTTAAGTATCAGAGGTCCAAGCCTTGGCATTTTGCAACTGCTGATGCACACTGTAACTAACAGTCCTTTAGATAATTAGTCATTTGCTCTGCTGGTTTTTTTTTTTTCACCCTCTTTTTTCTAAAAGACTGAGTTTGTGGTCTCTGTTTTTTCAGCTCTTAGATGGTCAAGAAGCAAAGAAACTCAATGTCCAGTGGCTCAGAGCCCAACTGGGCATTGTGTCCCAGGAGCCCATCCTGTTTGACTGCAGCATTGCTGAGAACATCGCCTATGGAGACAACAGCCGGGTCGTGTCCCAGGATGAGATCGAAAGGGCAGCCAGAGCAGCCAACATCCACCCTTTCATCGAGACACTGCCCCATGTAAGTTAACTCATGACTTCTTAGCTGGAATCAAAGTAGACTAGTTTTTAGCTCTGAAATGGTTACCAAAGTTCTTCCAACAGTCTTGCAACAAAGTGAGTTGATGTATTAGTATAGTCGCCTTGGGGAAGGCACTGACCTTAAAGATGACAAGTTCCTTATTTGCAAGTGGAAATTTCATCACACCTACCTCATGTAGTGAGAAGCTGAATGAGGTGATATAAAGTTCAGAGCACGTACTGGTGGTTTAGGTTATATTTGGACTACTGTAATATTTGGTATAGCTGATGTGCCACCTTTCCCAAAATTTAAGCTTTTGATTTTGAGAAAGTTAGAGATTCACATGTAGTTATGAGGAATACAGAGTTCTTTCTGTATCCTTTACCTTGTTTCTCCTAATAATAACACCTTTCAAAGCTATAATAAATAATAACTGGGATATTGACATTAATACTCTCTGCTGATATTATTCAGACCAGTTCATTCATTCTTTTAAAAATATTTATTTATTATTTTTATTTTATGTGTATGAGTGTATTGCCTGCATGTAAGTACATCCTGTCATGCAATGCCCTTGGAGGTCAGAAGGGTCAGATTCCCTGGAGTTACAGACAGTGGTTAGCTGCCATGTAGGTGCTGGGTATTGAACTCAGGTCCTGTACAAGAGCAGCCAGTGCTCTTGACTGTGGAGCCATCTCTCCAGACCCCCAGTTCATTCATTCTTATTGTGTGCGTGTATGTGGTGGTGGTGGGGTGTTGTGCATTATAATGCAGGTATAGTTTATATACCAACACATTAAAGATACAGGGTGTTTCCATCACCATGATGATCACTGGTGTTGCCATCTTTCTAATTACACATCCCTTCTTCTCACTTCACTCTCCCCACCTCTGGCAACTGCCAATCTGTTCTCTATTTGCTCCATTTTGCTACTACTGCAAAAATATTATACAAACACATGCACTGCATAAACTTGCAGGATTAGCTTTTCTCATTCAGCACACTTGTCTGAAGTTGTTTGTCCTTATAAATTATTCCTTTTTATTGCTGAGTAGTATTTCATGATATTAATGACCCACAATTAACCTTTCTCTTGTGAAAGTTTACCACAGTTATTAATGAATTTGGAACTATAAACCTTTGAGTACTGAGGTTTTGTATGAATTTTTTTAAGTTCTTAAATTTTCTGGAATAAACGCCCAACAGTACAATTGCAAATCCATATGGCAATTACATGCTTGGTTTTAAAAAAATACCACTACCCAACTGTTTTCTATAACTGCTCACACTGTGAGCTCTGCAAACCAAGCTGACTAAAATCTACATTTTTATCATTCTATGCTCTTCCTTAGCCTAGAGTGTTTTCTCAAAAGCCAGCCTCCTAAACTATACCAAGATCTTTTCCCTTTATCTCCTCTTTTTAAAATCTTCATTCCATCTTGTCCCCAAATTTCCTCCTTTCTCTTTCATAGCATGTTATGTGTACTGTTACTTTGGTATTTCACATTGAGTGTTCTCGCCCTTTGTGTGTTTCTTTTTTTCAGTCTTTTTGAGACAGGGTCTCCCTGTAGCCCCAGCTGTCCTGGAACTCACTATGTAGACCAGGCTGGACCTGAACTCACAAAGATCCACCTGCTTCTGCCTCCCAAGTGCTGGAATTAAAGGCGTGTGCCACCATGCCCAGCCTCTTTGTGTAGTTCTGTCTCTAGAGTATAAATTTCTTCAAAGCAGAAACAAAGCTGAATTCATTTAAAAAATTAGTTATTTATTTTATTTTATGTGTATGAGTGTTTTGCCTGTGTGTATGCAAATACATCATGTGTGTGCAATGCCCATGGAGGCCAGGAGATGGCGTCAAATTTCCTGGAACTAGAATTGCAGAGGTCTGTGAGCCACCATGTTGGTGCTGGGAACAATACCTAGATCCTCTGTAAGAGCAGCCAGTGTTCTTAACCTCCAAACTATTTCTCTAGCCCTTTGGATTCATTGATATATTTCTCACAGTTCCAGATACACCAGATACTTAATAAATATTTGAGTAAATATTCATTATTAAGGTATTAAGAGAGAATAAATTAGTCTCTACATGCGTTATATAACTTCTTCAAATAAAAAAAATATTTGTACATCTAAGCTATGATGACAATGACATCAGATCTGATGGAACTATGATAATGACAAAATTCAATATGGCTCAAATTCTTGTGACAAAATACTAGTGAGAACTAAAGTTACTAGTGTTCTAGCTCAGCTTTGAGAATAAACATTCTCTGAATTTGAAAATATGTTATTTTATTACAGAAACTCCTGTTGACCAAATGTTTCCCTTATAAATAGAATTGTCGAATGTTAGGCAAAAATTATTGACTCGACCACCCACAGATTTTTCTTTAAACTTATAATTTTGTTAATGACTGACTTGCAGAAATATGAAACAAGAGTGGGTGACAAGGGGACTCAGCTCTCAGGAGGTCAGAAACAGAGGCTTGCGATTGCCCGGGCCCTCATCCGACAACCTAGGATTCTACTGTTGGATGAAGCTACATCAGCTCTGGATACTGAAAGTGAAAAGGTCTGCGTCCATCTTTTTCTTACTAATTAGCAAAGCAGAAGGATGAGAAGCAAATATGGGAAAAGCAGACACTAAAATTTAGATGGGGTTACCTGGAGGTAATAGAGCATTTGATTCCAGTTTTTCTAAAAATAAACATATATTTTGTAAACATAGAGCAAGTATTCAAAAGGAAAAAGATGCAAAATCACAATTTTGGCACATTAAATAGAATAATCAAAACTTAGAAAGGACTCACAAAGGAGCTAAATAAAATGATATGGTAATATTCAGAAAATTTAAATAATCAGGAGGATCATTCACATCATGGAAGTCTGTATGAAAATTAAAAAGCAGATCACAATGTAGACCTATGTAAAATATGCATGCATAAAGTTGATTCAAAGAGATTAGACAAGAAATGAAAACAGTTGAAAAATCTAGGATGACAGATTTTTCATTGAATGTTCAGATTTGTTAATATAATTTTCAGAACAAAGCTTCTGTTTGACTTATCCACAGGTTGTCCAGGAAGCCCTGGACAAAGCCAGAGAAGGCCGCACCTGCATTGTGATCACTCACCGCCTGTCCACCATCCAGAACGCAGACTTAATCGTGGTGATTCAGAATGGCAAGGTCAAGGAGCAGGGCACCCACCAGCAGCTGCTGGCACAGAAAGGCGTCTACTTCTCAATGGTCAATATTCAGGCAGGCACACAGAACTTATGAACTTTTCCTGTTATAGCATATTTTAAAATAAATCATTTTACAACTTTATGACTTGCAAAAGAAGTTTTTAGTTTGTTATTAAATATAGGTCTATCTTATTCCACATCAATTTAAAGCATCAGACTTCGTACTTGATGTTACAGCATCTGAAGCTGGACAGTTGAAAGCAACATCTACCTTGACAGAATGTGGAAACAGCAGCATGGCTGTCCCTGAGCTGTCACCAATACCCGAAGAGAAGAGCAAAGCTCTGGTGTATACAGGGTAGGGCTACAAGTTGCAGGAACAGAAAAAGTTCCTGTGTTCTGAATAGGTAGGTGATGACAGGATTGTTTGGAAACAAGTTTACCAAGAACAAGGGAAAAAGATATTACTTAATACTCTAGTCTCTCACTTTGTAAGTTTCTGAATTACTCTGTTGTGGAATAGAAGGTATTATTATGATTACTTTGATTTTTACTTATATTAACACATTATTTTAATTTTTTAATTTTTTTTGAGAATTTCATACATGAGTACTGTATTTGCATCATTTCCATCCTTCCTACTCCCCCTCCAACCCCTTCCATGTTGCCCTACACCCTCTCAATTTCTTGTCGTCTTTTTCATTATTGTTACATAAATGTGTGTGTGTGTGTGTGTGTGTGTGTGTGTGTGTGTGCGTGCATGTGTGTGTGCATTTAGTGGCGCTTATGTGTACATGTGTTTAGGACTGACAACTTCAGATTAGATAACTTCTCAGGGAGCTTGTCCCTGGAGAAAACTGATTCTCCATCCCTCAGCATCCACTGATTGCCTGTAGCTCTTCATCTAGAGGTGGAACCCTGTAGAATGTCCCCCATTCACATTGGCGTGTCAACCGGTGTTGTCGTTACGCAGATGTTCTTTAGGCAGATATATTGTTGAGATTTCATGGGTGCAGTTTTCTTATCATGTTTAGAATGCAGTATCTAGCACCAGATATCCTGTTCCTCTGGCTCTTACAATTTTTCTGTCCCCTCTTCCATGATGTTCCTTGAGTCTTAAGTATAGAGGTTGCATTGTAGATAAATCATTTAGGGCTAGGCACCCCACAGTCACTTAGTCTCTGCATTTTGACTACTTGTGTAATAGTAATGGTCTCTATCTGTTGTAAAAAGAAGCTTCTTTGATGAGTCATGAGAGTTGTACTTATCTGTGAATATAAGAATGTGCGTTTAGAATACAGTAAAAAATTATGGCTGGGCATGGTGGCCCACACCTTTAATCCCAGCACTCAGGAGGCAGAGGCAGGTGGATCTCCATGAGTTCAAGGCCAGCCTGGCCTACATAGTGAGTTCCAGGACAGCTGGGGCTACAGGGAGACCCTGTCTCAAAAAGACAATAAATAAATAAATAAATAAATAAATAAACAAACAAACAAATAAATAAATAAAATAAAATAAAATAAAAAAGAAATTACCAGCCAGGCGTGGTGGTGCACGTCTTTAATCCCAGCGCTCTGGGAGGCAGAGGCAGGTGGATCTCTGTGAGTTCAAGGCCAACCTGATCTACATAGTGAGTTCCAGGACACCTGGGGCTACAGGGAGACCCTACCTCAAAATGACAAAAAAAAAAAAGAAGAAAGAAAGAAAGAAAGAAAAATTACCATGATCTAGGAAAGTGATCAGTAGTAGGCTCTTCTCTAGGGTCTATGACCTCTTCACCATGGGTACTTGGCTATGTTTACAGTACCATAATGGATTTCCTCCTAATGAATGGGTCTTAAGTCCAATCAGGCTGCTGTTGATTACCTCCAAGATAAAAGTGCCACTATTGCACCACTAGAGATAATTTGCTGGGCTAGTTATTGAGGTTCATAGACATTACAGCTGGATAGGATCATTGATTGGTTTTCTCCTTGGCAGTTTGCATAGTATCTTCTGATATTATGAGAGCTTGTCTTCAGGGAGGAGGCTTCCAGGTCAGATCCAGCTTCATTGCTCCAAGTTCTGTGTCCGAAGTATGTCCTGGGGAAGCAACCAAGGGCTGTGGCAACAGCTTATATTGTTTTGGGAGTTTCTTGGACTACTGTGACCAGAAACTCGAAGAGAGGTTTCCCTTGCCTGACACTGTGACTTTTGTTATATGGTCTTCAGCTATACACATGCACTCACATATATATGTGTATTTTTCAGTAGCTTTTAAAAATAATATATTTCCCAATGGTTTTTTTAGATAGCCTTAATAGTTAGCTTTCTTTCTTCTCTCTCTTTCTTTGTATAGATCTTCCTCCTCCCTCCCAAGTTAAAATAGCTCCCATTTTCCCATTTCCCTTGATAACACTAGTGTACTACTATTAACTTCTCTGGCACTCCTTCTTCCCCTCTCTATTTTCCAGGCTCCTGTGGTTACATCAGGATGTACGCTCACAGCTAGGATCCACAAATGAGAGAGAACATGTGGTGCTTGTTTTTCTGAGACTGAGTTACCTCATTCATTATAACAGTTTCCAGTTCCATCCATTTACCTGCAAATTTCATAATTTCATTTTTCTTTACAGCTTAATAGAATGCCATTGTGTAAATGTATCACATTTTCGTTATCCATTCATTAGTTGAGGGACACTGAGGTTGTTTCTATTTCTTAGCTATTGTGAAAAGAGCAGCAACAAACATAGCTGATTAAGTATCACACTTGGTAGCACAATATTGAGTCCTTTGGATATATGCTAAGGAGTAGTAGAGCAGGATCATATGGTAGATCTTATTTTAGTTTTCTGAGAATTATCTCCACTGATTTCCATACAGCTATATAACTTTACAACCCCACAAACAGTGAATGAGGGTTCCCCTTTCCTCACATCTCCAGCAACATTTGTTATGAGTTGTTTTCTTGATCTTAGCCATTATGACTGGGGTAAGATGAAATCTTAAGTTTTCAGTTACAATTCCCTAATTGATAAGAATTTTGAACACTTTTTAAGATAATTCTTAGCCATTTCTATTTCTTCTTTTGAGAACTATCTAGTCATATCTGTCACCTATTATTTGTTTTGTTTTGTTGAGACAGGGTCTCACTATGTAGCACTGGCTTGCCTGGAGCTCACTATGTAGACCAGACTGGCCTCAAACTCATAGAAGACCACACAGAGATGCTTCTGCCTCCTAAGTGCTGAGGTTAAAAGTGTGAGCCAATCCCAGCACTCAGGAAGCAGAGGCAGGTGGATATCTGTCACCTACTTTTTAATTGGGTGATCAGTTTTCTGGATTCTTTGGTTTTTGAATTCTTTGTATATTCTGGGTACTAATCCTCTATCAGATGTATAGCTGGAAAAGATTCCCACTCTGTGGCCTTCTTCTTTGCTTCACTGATTGCTTCTTTTGCTGTACAGAAGCATTTAAGTTTAATGAGGTCTTATTTGTCAATTGCTGGCCTTAATTCCTGAGCAACTGGAATTCAGTTTACAAAGTCCTTACCTGCCTCTGTCTTGTAGGGCACTGCCTATGTTTTCTTCTAATAGTCCCAGCATTTCAGGTTTCACCTTGAGGTCTTTGATCCATTTGGAGTTGATTTTTGTGCAGGATAATAGGTACGGGTCTAAGTTCATTCTTCTACATGTGCATATCCATTTTCTCCAGCATCATTTGTTGAAGATGCTGTCTTTCCTCCAGTTTGGTTCAGTTTTTGTTGTTGTTCTAGTTTGGTTGGTTAGTTTCAGATCAGGAATGAAGAGTCCTTCAGATTCTTAATATTGATTTTGTATTTGGAGGGGCAGGGGTGATTCCAGGCTGGTCAGGCATTCAAGGTGGGCAATCACAGCTACACTTGTGAGTGTGGAGATGGCAGTGGGGTAGATGGGGTTCTGGCTCACTCACCAGGCTGGTCAGGAGTGGGATCAACACAGGCTAGTCATTTAAAAGTGTGAAGATGGTGGTAGGGTGGGCGGGTTTCTCATTATTAACATATTTTAATTGTACATATCAATGGAGTTCAGAGTGATGGTGCCATATTCAATTATGCGCTGACCAGATCCAGTCACCCTTTCCCATCCCCACAAAACCCTTCCCAATCACCAATAGCCAGTATCTATGCTCAAATTGACAATTTTTAGTTTTACATTAGTGGGGACATGCAGCACTTGTCTTTCTGTCTGGCTTAGTTCAGTTAACACCCTCCCATTCCATCCATTTTGCTGCAAATGATATGATTTCATTTTCTTGGATTTTTTCTTGTATTACTGGGGACCAAACTTTTGGTAGGCATGCATTCTAGGACTGAACAGCATGCCCAGCCTTGCTTCATTCTTCCTTATGACAATAAAATTCCACTGTGTATATAGCAGTTTCTTTACCCATTCATCTATTGGTGGACCTCTAGGCTGATTATGCATCTTAGCTAGTATGACTATTTCTGAATTAAACATGGACATGCACGTATCCATTTTGCATGCTGATTTTGCTTCCATTGGATACTCAGAAATGTGTTAGCTGGATCCTATGATGATTCCATTCTTAGCTTTCAAGTGGTATCCATACTATTCTCCATAATCACTGTACCAACACCAGGCATTATAGCATGCCTCTTCTTATTTACTAATTTTTTACTTTGTTAATATTATCTCTCTGCTTCCCTTACTCATCTATCTGCTGTCATGTCTAAAATATTCAGAGACTCTCTTTTGTTTTGCTCTTTCCCTGTAGGTTTCTTCCTCTCCTCTCACACTCCCCATTCTGGTTTCATGGCTCTCTCTCTCTCTCTCTCTCTCTCTCTCTCTCTCACACACACACACACACACACACTCACACTCCCCATTCTGGTTTCATGGCTCTCTCTCTCTCTCTCTCTCTCACACACACACACACACACACACTCACACTCCCCATTCTGGTTTCATGGCTCTCTCTCTCTCTCTCTCTCTCACACACACACACACACACACACTCACACTCCCCATTCTGGTTTCATGGCTCTCTCTCTCTCTCTCTCTCTCACACACACACACACACACACACTCACACTCCCCATTCTGGTTTCATGGCTCTCTCTCTCTCTCTCTCTCTCACACACACACACACACACACACACAC